TGTAGGATATAATAATCATAACAATAATTTATTAAAATAATCAATAACATTTTTTGGTTAATGTAAATGATAACGGGGATCATAATATCAGTGTAAACAACATAAAATTTTTAAAACAAATTAAATTTAATAATGTTATAAACAAAGGTCATGTACTGAACATATAATACGTACACCTAATTACGATAATTATTTTATTATAATAAATTCCAATGTAGAGGAAATCAGACTATACCGAGTTAGGTGTAAAAAAAACGACTCGAGAAGCGGAAAATGTATGAAAAAGAAAAATGTGGTTCATTACAGAATAATAACATTCTAATATAACTATAATTATCACATACTTCTATTTATATTTTGATTTAAAAATTATAAGCCCGATAGAAAATAGCCCAAGCGTCAAATAATATATGTGACGTGGAAAACATAATTTTATTTTGATGTTTTATAATTTTTTTTAGATTATAATCGTGATTAAAAAAACTATATTTTTAAGGTTTTGATACTACTAGTTAATTGTTTATGTAAAAAATCCAAGAATAGGTATGAAACGAAAATTAAAAAATAAAATTGTTTAGTTTATATATCAAATATTTTTATATCATTTTTCTGTAAACTTAACTTAAAAAACGAGAATAAACGATTTCTATGCTATATTAATTATAAGCATTTAATTGAATTCACAATTTCTCTTCGATTCAATTTATTTCTCAAAAATAACATTATATTTAATAATACTGTATATGTGTTATTTTTTATTTTATTATTTTACGTTCGTCGAAACGTTCGATATTTTCAATGAAGTTTTATGGTTTATGTTATTTTAAACTTTTTGACACCCCCAACTACACCAAATTGATGTGTTACGTATTTTACTGATTATCTTACATTTTATACATTTTAATGAGTTGTGAGTAACACTAGTTAACACTTTTAACAGTTTTAATATATTTTTTTTTTTATAACTTAAAAATTGACAAATTAATCATGAATCATGATAAATTATGCATTACATAATATGTAGGTAACGTTAATTTTGACATTCGATTACATTTGAATTACATCTCACTTAGATTTATGTTATCATAACCTAAATATGATATATCATTTCATAAATACGCATTTTAATTACTAATACAAATGTTTACAGTCTTAGAAAAATAAATAAAATGTGCTATGATTTGTATTGATTATGAAATAAAAATATTTTTTTTACAGTACCGCATTTTGTTCTTTTCAACATAGTCAAATTTGTTTTTGTGTGAGTTCAATTAACCTCGATTGTTAAAACAAACCGTCGAAGTATACAATCGAACTTTTCCTTTAGAATAATTTTAATTTGACACCGATGAAACGTAAAATAAAACTTAGATATAACTGAAATAAATAATTTTTATGATTTATAACGTCTTGTGTAATATACAAAGTGAAATGTTTTTATTATTTTTGTATTTTCTCAAAACAATAAAATCTTGTGGTGCATTATGCGTAGTATTTAGGATTTTGAATGTTATCTATATTTTAATTGATATAAAATATGTATATTATTGTAATATTATATTCGATAAATAATTCAATAAAATATGTTAACGTCATAAAAATGAATAATTGTGTTTACGAAAGACGAAAAGTTATTTGTTTACATAGATCAAATAAACAAAATAAAAAAATAAATAAATAATGAAAATATTATTTATCTTTTTTGTTTCTTCAGTATACGAGTTATCTGAGCTGAATAATATAATAAATATTATTAAAAAAAAATTAATTAATAGAAATATCATTATATTGTTAAAATTGACAACGTAACGTAAAAAAACTTCACTGTACGTAGGATGGTTCTAAACTTTTTTTGGGTTGTCCAGATGTTTGATTTGAAATAACTATAAAATAACGGAACATATTGGCGTAGAATACAGCACGTACCTACAACACATTCTGACATCTTAAATTTGAACACGTAAAATATATAGCTATGCACTATTTATGTGTGTGTGTGTGTGTGTCTATGTATATGCAGCTTTTAATATTGCTACAATATGGTTCATCAAATGTATTTATTTTTCCCACATTGACAGGGTCCACGTGGCGTGATATGCGTCGGTTGTTTTTATGTCAATAATAATAATTGGCAGAAAATAAAGGAAGAAAGAAAGAAAATCACAAAAAAAAATCCGTCGAAACATCTCAGTCGACTTAAGACTTGTTTTTCTCCATGGAATGTTTTCCACTCTGTATAGGTGCACTCACACACGCATCAGCTCATATATATTTTATATTGTATATGTACATACGTACACATTACACATACATACATATGACATACCTATATATTTACCTCCACACATATATATATATATATATAAATATAATATACCGGTCGCGGAACAAATAATATCCTGATATTTGTGTTGTCCGTTTAAGCAAATAAAAAGTTAGTTCCGAAGACAACACGTATGTGTATATGTACTTGGATATTATGGGTATTATATAATGTATTATATCACCGTAATGTCTTGTCATGGAATCCTAGATATTTAAGGTTTGTTTTTAAATCAAATTCCACGAAAGTATAGAAACGTTACAAAGATTTCTGTCTTAGTAACAGTTATATTAATATAATAACCGACGACTGGTTAGATCGCCACTAACAGTCACAGGGTTCAAAAGCCACATGAAAAATATTATAAATAACACATATTTTTTTAACAGATTCATTGTGTTTCTAATTAAATATGTGTGATATAAACTAACCAGACGGTCAATGTACCAAACTCACCTATAGCGGTAAACGAATTATTTTGTTTATTATTTAATGTATTGCTATTTCATATTATTGCTTCATCAGATGGATAGTTTTATAGTCAAAAATTAAATATGAAACTTATTACTATAATAAGTATAATAAATATAATAATAAGTTTTACTATAATACTGTATTGTTTATTATAATTTTACAATGTGTGTAAACACACACAAGACATAAAAAAAAGTTGCATTGGTTGACGAATTAAATCACCGTGGGAAATTTTATAATACATCCATTATTATCACTCATTTTTTAATGACAAAAAATATTAATTAATCTGAATAATACCGTTATAAATTTTTTATACTAACATATATAATGAAATAGTTAAACTAATGTCGGGATTGACTCATTTTCAAGTAATTTTGTTAAACATACAAGTGTTGTTTTTTTTTTTTAAATAATAAAATAAACGCTATAGATTTTTGCACTCCCGAAAATTTCCACAGTCGCCAATATATTTCTTTCTCTCTAATCTCACTTTACCATTTATTTTCAGCCATAATATGAAAACGGATAATACTAATAAAACAGAGAATTTTTTACGACTTATTGTCATATTATAGATGCAAAACCATTATCCGAATTAATTACGCGTCAAATGATATTAGTAATCTATACAACGATTTATTGTGATATGCTTTTTCGAATAAAGTCATGAAAAAAAATAATTATGTACATAATATTATTTTTGCATGATTTTTGGTTTTGCGAGTGGTGAAATACATATATCTATAGACTATAAGGTTTACTATTGTTGTTATATACGCGTGTTCCGAGTTATTGTCGTTAATCATCCGTGAATAATGATCATTTATAACCATTTAAGTAAAAAAATTTAAAAGAACGAACAATAAAAAGAAAAATATAAGACATACTGAAGAATTATGGCGTGGTAATTTTAATCATATACGCGTGTATTTTCTATTATTTTTTTTTCAGGTATATTTTAATATAATGACACTAAAAAAATTCAGGCATTTTAAAAAAATTTATCACCATATTTCCGTAGCGCTTGTACCACATTATATTCACAGTAAAGTATAAATACGAACAATAGTTTAAATGGATAATTTATGAATCCCACATTTTGCACTGCGGTTTAAAAATAATATTCTTTATGTGTATTATATTATATGTAATACACGCGTAAGTAAAATGAAAATTGAGCTCTTTATGAATACCTTGGGAACTTAACAATTTGTGTGACTTGTGCGTTTATTATAAACGTATAAAACAAATTCATTTTTCTTATTGTGCCATTGTTGTTTCTAAACAATAATATGAAAATTTAACAGCTCTACTAAATTCGTGTACACTTTCAAAAATTGCTTTGTATTCGATTGATCGTTATTTCATCAATCGTTATAATATATTGGTTGCTAGGTATGATGAGAACACTTTTTTTTTAATCACTTTTTCCTAAATGTACATCGTGCTTACATAACTTTATATTTATAAACTAGTGAAACAATACAAATACAATACGTAAAATAACGATTCGATTATAACAAACACGTATGTTTAAATAAATACTTACAAATATATATTTATATATAGGTCCTATATTATTTATTATTAATAGTAGAAAATTGATTATAATATAGTTTATCGTAGAAGAAATAAATATTTCTGGAAATTGTATTTAAGCGTTTGACAATTGTTGGTAGTTGATAATGTTTATTTCGTGAAGTTCCTAGTAAATAAAAATTAAAGTTCGTTGAGTTAGTCGTAATATCAATTATACAAAAAAAAGTCAGCGATAATTAATATTACAATAGAAATGCACCATGCACTTGTTGGCAATGGTTGAGTATACGTTTAGTAACATATAAAGATATCTACTAAGTAATGTAACGCCGATCTTTTTTCCAAAATGTTACAACATATAATTATTATGTTACGGTTTTTTTTTTTCACCATCGTTAAAATATGATCTTTGATCGACACTGAATGTCGGCTCTGCAGCCTTAACAGCTTCGCGTTTATGTAACGTAGTCTGCGACAAACATTTTAATATATGTGTTTGTTTTTCTTATCAATCTTTTACCATCCGGCACTGGATTGCGGCATATTATTAATCAAAACAGTTAAATTAGTTTATCGCGGCTTCGATAACGAAAAATCAAAGGTCCCTTCCATGAACTTTATAACCGTTTATTTTAATATAAATATAAGTCCCGGCTGGTTTGCTAAATTAGTATTGTTCGAGACACCGTCAGCAGTGGTACACATATCAATCCATTAAATTAGCGTTGATATTATATTTTGATATTTAACTTATTATAGACAATACATATACAACCACAACAACAATATGGTTGCCTGCAAAGTGATTTTGGCCATCGCCGTCGTATTTTTAGCTGCTACTCAAGTAAGTATATATTATTATTATGGAATAAAATATTATAGTTATACAGCTAACAATATCCGTATTAACTGCGTACCAATAAAAAAGCGTTGTATGATGTTATGGACAATCATTCATTAATCTATAATAAATAATTAACATTATATAGAATATTAACCAAATTGGATAAATTTAGATCAATGGTAAACCCAGCACTAATCCCGACACTGAATGGAGTATACCGTTCGAAGAGGCTCTCAAGAACATCACCAAAAAAATGAGTGATGTTGTCAGCGATAACTCTGAATATACTACCGCTGCCAAGAACAGTTTGAACAATTTCGTCGAAGGTTTCAAATCCGAACTCGCAGTTCTTTCCAAATCGGTATGACAATCCACTAAATATTACCAATAATATAATATATAGTAACATTATGATTATCGAAGTCCATTGCTGTATATTATACTTGTAATTCGTTACTAACATTTTTGAATCATTTATTTTAACTATATTCTTTTTATAACTGCAGTTTGAAGGTAAAGCTGGCGTCTCTGACGTAGTCAAGGAAGCCACTAAGCAATGGCAATCAGCCGTTGACACATACACCAAGAACTTGCCAAAGGAACTCAGCTTAAAGGACTTTAACGAGAAATCCGAACAGGCCCTTAAATACATTGTGGAACATGCCACTAATATCTCAAAGAAAGCCCAAGGAAACACCGACATTGAGAAGGAAGTCAAGGAATTCACTAAGAAGAATATCGATTTACTTATAGAACAAGTTAAAAGTGTCGAAGTAAGTAAAAGAACAATATATACAAATAAAGTTATATTTTCTTAAGATCATAAATTAATTACAGTTTTATTTATATGATTTTAGGCTAAAATCATTGAAGGAAAAAAAGCCTAAGATGGACAAGTTTGAGTGACTGACGCACATTGTACCAACTATGTGTCAATCAAAGCACGATAACTGACAGTTAATTTATTACTTTTTAATTTTATAAAATTGTTATTTATTTCACCTTTAAAAATCAAATATTAAATTTTACAGTTTTTATACTTTATTTCAGCTTTATTAACGTTTTTTCAACTAAAAATATCGTTCATAAAAAAAACAATGAATCTGTTTCTGTAAAAAGGAATTTAAACATTTTAAATTCTTCCTTATGGATTCGTGTATTATTATAATTTTAAATGACTTGTATGTCGTAATTATTAGTCAAGTAGTACCTGATACCATTTTTATTATTACACTTAATTTATATTAATAATCGTAAAAAAAAACATTTAAATAAATCAAGATTTAATGATTTTTCAAAAGTACTTAAAAACTTATCAATATTACATTTACATTATCAAAAATCGAAAAATTAAAATAACAAATATGCAATAATAATTTATCGTAACTTATTAATGATTAATACAATTAACATGAAAATATTACTAAATTTGCTGTAATACATGTAAAAACACAGTTAAGTAATGGCTAAACGTATAGGCAATAAACCATAAAAATAAATATAAACGCTAATTTTCATAACAATATAACGTTTGTACAAAATGCAAATCATAGTTTATATTTAATATTTTAGTCACTAAAATCGCTTATTATTTTTTGCGTGAATTTTCATAATTTTACTTAAGTATTATAATGAATTTTTTATTGCTTGAATTTTTGCTCATTCGTAAACGTGATTTTGGACCCATTTTTTATAAACATAAATCTGATCTTAAACGATAAAAAAAAAGTATTTGCATATAATATAATACAATAATGATTCCTGACAAATTGCCTTTTTTTTAAAGACATATATACAATATATTATATGGTTTAATGAAAAATAATATACATTAAAACACACTTAGGATCGAATGATACGAAAAAACTTAGTTAAATATTTAAGTTAAATGACAAAGTTCAAGTGTAAGTCTGAATCAAAAGTATTAATAGGATATACTTAATTGAATACATAACTTAAATACGATTAATGTGTATATTATAAGCTTATGACTAATATTATCAAGCAGTCATGACAACACATTTTATACAAAATTTTGTTTGTACCATTTCATTTTTATAAAATGTATTTTCAATGTCGATTAATGCAATTACGAATCCTTTCTTCATCCATCAGCACTTTAAAGTTAATGTCATATTTTATACAAAAATGTCTAGTATTTCTATTAGCTTGTCATCATTTTGAGTGTAATTATGTCTCGAATTAAAGCTAGAACATGTGAGAAAAATAACAATATTAAAGTGTAAATACACTTTATATTTGATAGGAGAGAACATTCACGTTGAGTCAACTAACTGTTATATTTGATAAATATACAAATATAATATTCATTATTCTTATCGATTTGAACTCTATATGTACAAAATAAACGTTCTTAATGAGCATATTAAATATTATAATATGCTGGATCAACAGATATAATATTATTATTATGTTATGAACTATAACTTCACTGGCGTGTTAAAATTGTTTAAAACGGTCATCAATATAGCATTATGATAGTTTTAAATTTACGTAAAACATTTTTATGTACATTTTTCCAATGTATACGCTAAAGACCATTTCTTCAACTTAAAACGATGAATCGTATAAAAACATTAATAAAATAAACGTAATATATATAATATGTACATCGTTTTATTTAAAAACAAATGTATGCATATAGCTTATACAATATAATATACTGTACACAATGTCATCTTCAAGGTGCTGATGAGAAAATAATTTAAGTTTTGAAGCAAGAATGATTAAAATTTCTTATGTATCTAAACAAAATTTGAACTAGTAATTTCTGAGTTACTAAAATATGATGATATTTAAAAAAAAACAATGATCTTAGAAATGATTAAAAACATGATATATTTTTAAAGTGTACGCAATTATTATGTAATATTGGATCTTATATTAATTATACGCATATAATATTTTCAAAAGGTAAAATATTAATAACTTCAATTTTTAAATTTATAATTATCTTCTCTTTATCTTCTTTACTTTATATGTTATATAAATATATATATATTAATCTTAGTACACAACGTTTAATAACAAAAAAAAAATATAATAATAATAAATTTTGACGTATTTCAAAAATAAATAGTTTCCAACATTTACTATAATATTATTGTTAGATTATAACACGTATTACATTCTAAAATAATATATTTATATATTGTATTACCTACTGTAATACTTCTATAAAAATCAATTTTTAATTTGTACGAATAATTTATAGTAAAAAATAACTACTCTTTCCATCATATACAACGTTTTTCTTTCGATTCTGTATGACCATTCTATCAAACCAGCATAATACATTCGGTCTCAGTAATAATATAATTCATCATACATGGATGTAGCACAGCCAACGATTACAATGATATGTCGATATTGATTGAGGTAAAGGTCATCTGCGTGCGAGTCGTGTGTGCCGTCTATATAAAAATAATCTGAAATATTACAATGTGTGCGAATATATATAAAAATGTATACATATGAAACATATATTATATACATTATTCATAACTGCATGTTGATCCTTTAATACAGTATAATAATATAATATTTTTATATAGTTTTCAAAAACTTCGATGATATAATATAAGCTATTGTGTTTAATTTTTTAAGAAGATATAGGTGCGTATTTGAAATAAACCTGATATCGTGTATAAACTTAAAAAATTCAAACACGTAATTGACTGAACTTTACAAAGTATATCCATTGGCTGTTACATTATATGGACACAGCTATTTTAAAAAGTGGAAAATTTCTGGTCTAAAAATTAAATTTGACTTAATGTATTTTTTTTTAGATTTACGTTAATATAAAATTTGTGTAAAGAAAATGATAGTATATAGCTTTTCTTTTCTTTTTTTAAGTCAGGTCTAAAAGAAACTCGCATATAATATTAAATCACATTAAAACTTTACTTTTTTTTTTAAATTTTTTTTGTAAACGGCTTTCAACATCTCGGGCGCGTTAAACTCTCGAGAAAAGACGTAATCGACTTTTCTCGCTATCGAGTAGACCATTCTACCGTCTCTCTTCTCATCTATTTAAATTACCCCTCAATGGTTCTCTGTCTTGTACACTACGCGTGAACGAAGTAATTTGTGGCCTATCCAAAACACTGTACTCTACTGCCAGTCACTATCAATTCAAAGTGTGAAACCTTAATACTATTTTTTTCCCATGACGCTATCCTGTGCAACGTCTCGTCGGACATTTATCTAATTCTATGTCAAATAAAAAATAAAAAATAAAGGTACTATAAATATCGTAATTCATAATATAATGGAAACTATTAAAATATTTTATAATTTTCTTTTCGTCTGTGATAATTTTATAGTATGTGTCAAATATATCATAAATAATTCATGTGTTAGTGGTATATCTAAAATAATACAAAATCCCATTGTTAGCATAAATCTTAACATCGATGTACCGACAATTGCGCGCGATAATTTCAGCACACGTTAATTGAACGTGGTAATTATAATATTTTATATTGATAATCAATAATTATTGTATTTAGTAACCTGCTGTAGTATTAACGTAATTACCAAACTTGAGAACTTTAAAAAGAACAATACAACGAATACGTCAAATTAAATAAATTTCCCTAGTCAACCAAATTCTTTACAATTCAAAATACCAGATTATTCAAAAAACGCTATGTAGAGAGCAGTTTCTTTTTTTCGACAGTGCTAATTCTGGATTTTAATTTTTTTTACGAGGAAAAATGTAGAACTTCTGGCATATTCAAAGCACTGGTTTGCTGATGGTTTAATTACATCATGTCCTAATTTATTTTATCAATTACATACGATACACACAATTCATTTTTCTAATGTCATATCGTTGATATATATTTTGTTATCGGACAAAAAAAGAAACTACTTATATTACAATGTTCCGTAATTTAAAATTAATAAAACCAGAATTAAATCAAATTTCTTTTTTGATTAACTTCGAAAAAGCAGTAATGAATTTTATTAAAACCGAATTTCCACAAACAAAAATTCAAGGTTATTTTTTCAATTTAAGTCAAGACATATGGAGGCATATTCAAGAATTTGATTTATCAACTCAATATTGTAATTATCCTGTATTTTTTTTAGAATTGAGAAAATTAGCTGCTCTTACCTTTGTTCCATAGAAAAAGTGACAGAATATTTTTAAGGTCTATTAGAAAACGAATTTCATATAAAAAATGAAGAACTGTTGTTATCATTAATTTCATACTTCGAAAGTACTTGAATTGGAATTTTAGACAGGAGAGAAATTAAAATATCTCCCTTTTTTGCAATTACTATTTGGAATTGTTTTAATCGTTTGAAAGATGATCTCCCAAGAACTAATAATAATATTTAAGGTTAGAATGATGAGTTTTCTGCTCTTTTAACTTTTTCGCATCCTAGGATATGGAAATTTAATAGTTGTTTAAAAAAAGAATAAATTATTCATAAAATGACTATTGAACAGCTTATTTCTGGAGATAAACCACAAAAAAAAAGAAGTATAAAGATACAGCAAAAAAATATTACACATATGTAAAGATTTTTAAAACTAACCACTCAATGAGTACTTACAAAAGATAACTCACAATTTGAATTTAAACAAATGATTATAATATGATGTTTTCTATAGATGTTTGTAATTTTTTTTAAATTTTTATGTAATGCGTATTTATTATTTAGTAATAATAATATTTTTAACATAATTTTAATTTAAATAAGTGATTTCTATAATAATTTAATGTGTATTTAATATTTAGCAACACTTAACAATATTTTTGATATCATTTTAATTTGGTATTTTATTATATTTATTATTTTTAATTAATTTGGTATATTTTATTAAACACAATGCACTGACTTGTCTTACGCTGAAATATCACCGCTGAACTATATCGTACACTAAAATGACTACGCTGAATTATCATTAATTTCTTAACATTTATATCAAATGTGATATTAATATCACCTGTAATACTATGTAAGTATGTGGAATTGTGTATTTAA